TCTGTGGCACTCTGTAAGGGACCTAATTTGTTCTTTGTGTTGTCATTATAATTCTGCTCCATTCATTAGATAGGCATCTACTAGGTGGTTTGGTTCATAAGAAATGCTCAGCACTGACACAGGAGGTGGCCAGGAATCAGAACGGAACACTCAGCCCTTCCTGGTAGTCACTTTCTTATTGAGATACAAGCTGTCCTCACATGAAGCACAGCTGTTTATGCGGTTGCATACACAGACACATGAAACTGATGGTGGTTATTCGCTCTGTACCCCAGGACACCTCCTTTTCCCCTTGTCTCCCAGCCACAGCCTATCTAACGTGCTCTTGAGTGCTCAGGGCTTCTGTATCTGCCACCATTGCTTTATACCACTACCAAACTTCCTTTCTTCCATGTCTCTCCCTTAATTTTTTCTCACCCAATATCTGAATTGTCTGTGCTTTGCAAAGATAAGCTATTTCTTAAAACCACAAAAGATATCATATTATTTCCTTGGAAAACACCCCGTACGATAAATCATCCGGACACTTTCCATTCTTCCACACAAACAGCTTTCCAGTATCCTGTAACAGGTTAGCAGGGTAGGTTTGCACATGGGTTTACGAAAGCTGTAAAAAGTGCGCTGTAATCCAGCAGTTCTAGTTCTAGGACTTTTTTCTAAGCATAGATCCATGGAAGCCATTTAATTATCTCACAATAGGGGATTGTTAAACCATGGTAATACTATACAATTACAAACAAAAAACTACTTATTTTCATGGGTATTCAGAATATATTAATAAAGACAGTTGCAAAAGAGTATACACAATAAGATCTAATTAAAAATATTTATGGGAGCCAGCCCAGTGGCATAGTGGTTTAAGTTTGTGCACTCCAGTTTGGTGGCCTGGGCTTCACTGGTTCAGATCCTGGGCACGGACCTACACACCGCTCAGCAAGCCATGCTCTGGCAGCATCCCACATAGAGGAACTAGAAGGACTTACAACTAGAATACACAACTTACACTAGAATATTGGGGAGCTAAGAAAAAGAGGAAGATTGGCAGCAGATGTTAGCCCTGGGCCAATCTTCTTCACCAAAAAGGATTAGAAATATACATATATTTATGTAACTTATAAATTTAGCTGTGTGATTTTATATGGGAATATTTAGAAGATCCAGAGTAATATTCACCAGTGACAGTGAGTTCTCCCTGCCGGTATTATCAACAGTCTTGATTGTGTTTTCTCTTTGGTTAAGAGCATGTGTGTACTTCAGTATAATGTTTCACTCAGGTAGGGGAACGACACCCAAAGTCATCTCTAGTCTCCCCAACCTATTTTCTTTATGCTCCAAATTTTCACAGCTTCACAGTCAATGCGCGCCTTTCTCTCCTCTACTTTGAAAGCAAATCTGTCCTGGAGGGACAGGGTTGGTTTGTTTTGTTTTGCTTTTCAATACTTTTTCTCTTCTCATTCTTTACTAGACTCTTAAACTTCTCGTTTTTTGCACTGTCTTATCTAATTTCCTTTCTCCTTTTGTGACATGTAAATTCGTTCAGACACATTCTGAAAGTATTTATGGGAATATTCAGTATTGGTTTTTTCCTCTTGTGGAGTATCAGAGAGTCCGTATTAACTGTGGCCTTGGGAGGTCATCCTCGTTGGTCTTTATCTTTTTTTTTTTTTGCCTGTGAGGCTTTGAGGGATTTCTTGTCTGTACCCCTTTCAACCAAAACTACTAGAGCTGTTTTTGGTTTTGTTTTGCTTTTAAGGGTAATTTTCTGATTACAGTATTAATGAATGAATATTATAGAAAACCTAGAGAATGCAAAATAGCATTTATAGTCTCTCCCACCTGTCAACTCCATTACCTCTGTTATTGTTTCTTGCCTATATTTCTAAACAGACACATATGGATTCATTTATTAATTGAAATTATACTGAACATACGGTCATGTCCACTGCTTTTGTCACCTTAGGCATGTGCAGTACAGGGATGCAATTAACAAAATGCAGACTGTGGGAAACTCTAGGACAAATGACCTGTGTTGGTTTTTGTTTGTTTTTTTTTTTTTTTTTTTTGACAAACAAATGGTGAGAGAGGGAGGAGAAAGAAATAGAGAGGAATCTAGAGATTAAAGTCTGGGAGTCTTAAGAGGCTTATCAGTCAGTCACTGTGTGTGAACCTGATTTAGATTCCGATTGGAACAAACAAATGTATTTTTAAGTGGACTTTATCTTTTAGGGATGCAGCCTGAAGGTTTTACAGATGAAATGTGATATTTGGGATTTGCTTCAAAATAACACAAGGGGAGGAGGGAGCAGGTGGGGTAAATTAAGTACGTGTTTGATGTAGTTCTATATTACTCATATTTCCTTGTGTTAGTAATTATTATTCCAAAATATGAATTTTAATTAGTTATTCTATTTTTAAAAATACCAACTTTTAATTACCAAGACTTTTTTGTAGCATGTTCATAGTTCCTCAATATTATAAATAACACTTTACTATTACTTTTTTTAACATAAATCACATCTGTGATTATTTCCTGAAATTGCTGGTTTAAAAGAAATGCTTGTTTTCAAAGCTTACTGCACTTTGCTACGTTGGATTCCAGAAGGATTAATCCAGTTTGTACTTTAACCTGAAGTCTGATACGAATGTCTGTTTCACATAACTGCATTTCATATTTTAAAAAAGATCCTTGCCATTTTGAAACTTAAAAATTGGTATTTCATTTTAATGTGCACTCCTTTGATTATTAACATGTGGTGGAATTTTGTGGAGAAAGTGAGGAGATTGACTCTGTGATCTTCTTCACAAGGACCTTGAGGAGCAACTGGATGAGGAAGAAGGAGCTCGCCAGAAACTGCAGCTGGAAAAGGTGACAGCAGAGGCTAAAATCAAGAAGATGGAAGAGGAGATTCTGCTTCTCGAGGACCAAAATTCCAAATTTATCAAAGTAAGAGAATATTTCTATTCAAAGGTTGATGATAGAATATGAACAATACTTTCGTGGATGCACTCACTGAAGGTGGCTTCAAACGGGAAAAGCTCAGGTTCATTTACGTCGTTTTCTCTCTGTCTCTGCCTGTATAGATTTCTAAAGACGGAAACTATGTAATTTTTTAACTCCACCAAATAGCCTTATAATCCTTTAGGTATTTACCCCGCACATTTTGTACACGTTGATCACTCATTGATGCCTTGTTCCCATCTGTGCATCAGTTCCTTCAGCCTCTTGTGGGACCCTGATGGCTGGGCAGCTGGGCCACGCTCTGGAGGTCGGCCCCAGGATCAGGGAGCCTTCTGGCCTTTTTGGAGCACACCATCTGTTGGGGGAGGCAGTGCCAGTGTTACTTGTTTTCTAAGTAGTACCAAACCCCAGTTGTTATTTTGAATACCTTTTCTGAAGCAGTCAACTTTGTCCTTTCAGGAAAAGAAACTCATGGAAGATCGCATTGCTGAGTGTTCCTCTCAGCTGGCTGAAGAGGAAGAAAAGGCAAAAAACTTGGCCAAAATCAGGAATAAACAAGAAGTGATGATCTCTGATTTAGAAGGTTAGTGTCTCGGGTTAGAGAAATTTAGGACTAGGACATGCGAGTGTTCAGATTGAACTGAAATCACAACGTGCAATAATAGAAAATGTACATGGTGATTACTAATCAGTTTGGGTTCCATTATTAAAATGTCTATTATAAGTTATTATCATAACTTATTATTACAAGTTATAATACTTGTCTAGTCACCAAGTATTTATGATGGAGTGGCGCTAAATTATCTTTTAAACTTTTACTTTTTCAAGTTGGGCCTGTGGTAGAAATCCATTGCCCTTTGGTGGACATAGAATCTAATTTAAGTTTGAGTCGTACAGGCCATTGGACTTGGTGTGTGTTTAATCTGAAACTGCATTAAGTTGCCCAGGTCTCACTTCACAGAGGGACCGCCTCTGACATAACTGCAGGGACAGGAGAAGCTGCTGAGGAGACCATGTCTCACATGATGGCAAAAATAAAGTCGGGAAATCCTAGGATTTTTGCAAAATGAATCACCACTTTCTCCAAAAGAAATAGGAAAGGAGAGTAGGAGTTGGGGAGAGCATATAAAACCTCTCCTGTCCAGCCGCTAGAGACTGGTGTTGACACTGAGGAAGGAAGAGCATGGCTCAGGATGCCCTGGTCTCGAGAAAGTGTGAACAGCACCTGCGGGGCATGACCACCTTTCCTAATGCGTTGCTTCTGTAATGGGGAGAAAATGAGTGGTTTTACACAAATCTTTAGGGTTTTGTTGTCCTTGTTGTTGTTGTTTAGTATAAACAAAAGAGGGGATGCCAGTATGAAACTGTTTCACAAACCATTTGTACCAGTGTACACTGCTGTGCGGGAGGTGGCAGACAGCAGGTGTCGACGTGGCTGTTTTTTCTCCCTTTTTGATCGGGCTGTGCTACTCAGTCTCATCTTCTCAGCATATTGGTTCCCGCTGGAGAACACAACGGCACACAGGTCGTGGTGTTGTGAGGAAAGCATTTGAATGGAAAGGATCATGGCGTTAATTAAGGGGTGACTGCAGAATTTTAGAGGGGAGGGCGGAGAAGATGCATGACCTTCTGCCCGCCCTCTGTCAAACCAGGGATTCCCAGTGAAGGGGTGGGGGATGGGCAGTTACAAACACTGCCCTAGCCTCTGCTGAGCCCCTCTCCAAACCTGGGCACAGCGATGGGGGTGGCATGAGAGGGTTCCAGGTCACTTCAACTCTAACAGAGTGGGCTCACTTCTTATGAAAGGACATCCTTAGAACCCACCCAATTTCTTCCTTAAAATCCATCTTCCCACTAATTTATCTCGCCTTCAGTTTGGTCTTAATGGTTTCAAATGACTGAGCTGTTGGCACAGTGTTATCAAGGCAGTGACATGCTTTTGAATAAAATGGCTTATTTTCAACTTTAATCAATTTATATTTTGAATTTGTTCACATGGTGTCATTCACCGTGTTGAAGAGCTTCTTGTATCTTGCCTTAAAGAACGCTTAAAGAAGGAAGAGAAGACTCGTCAGGAACTGGAAAAAGCCAAAAGAAAACTTGATGGTGAAACAACTGACCTGCAGGACCAGATCGCTGAGCTCCAGGCACAGATCGACGAGCTCAAGATCCAGTTGGCCAAGAAGGAGGAGGAGCTGCAGGGCGCTCTGGCCAGGTCTGCCATCACTGCAAAGGCCTTTGGACTGAAGTTACTGTGGGGTTTATTTTCAACAGAATGTCTCAGGTCTAGGAGCAGACAAAAACCCCAGGAGAGTAACATGTAGTTTACTTGTTGTTAGGTCTAACATAAGAACCTGAAAAACCCAGAAGTACAAAATTTATGTTAGGGTTGCAAGAAAATCTCGTACACCGTTCTCAGTATTTATGCTTAAAATCATTAGTCGTATCGTGAAATCCTTGGAAATTCACACCAGAGCAAATTATTTTACCATATCAAATGTTTGTACATTACAGATTAATTTCAGTATATTTTAGAAGTTTAGAGAAAATCACTTTAACATGGTCTTAGGACTTAGAGTTTAATTTATAATTGATTACAATCAAGAAAATCTTGTAACAGAAATGTTTCTCTGTCCTCTCTCACTGTTAGTCTTACTTCAGCCAGATTTTCTGCTTTCTCACTTGTAGAGGAGAGCTAGAATCTAGAATTAAGGTTCTCTACCACTTGCAATCATGTCTATCAGCTTTCCTTCCCTCACCTCAAACATCCCAACTATTCCCAGTCAGAAGAATCTACCAACATTAAACCATGCACATGAGCAAAAAGATGCGCTAGAGGAAAGATGACGTGTAAAGTAGAAGGTGTGAAGGTGGCAGGTCTCTTTTTTCTACTGTGTTCTGAGAACTTTGAATTTGCTGCTTCACTGTAGGCTGATACCAATTTGATAGACTAGACTGCCACCTTGAGCAGTTTCCTAATTATAATAACATTTTACTTGAGGGAATTTTTTAATATTCTAATCGTTAAAGTGAGATTGTCCTACCTTTTAATGGAGGATTTTAGCCCTTCACAATGGGCTGGATTCTGATTCTAGCTCTGCTGCTGCCAGCTCTGGGGCCTGCACGTCAGTTTCCTGTGTCCATCCCTGCCTGCCGAGCAGGCCCTGGGCAGCCGCTCCAGCCTCGTGCCACGGGCAGAGGGATGTGTAACTGGGGTCTCCCGTGGAGAGGTCCGCAGGGGCTGGTTCACGTGGGAAACAGTGCATCTGTGCGCCAGCTCTCAGTGCTTCTTGCGCCTGGGTCTTTTAACAGGGGTGATGACGAGACACTCCATAAGAATAATGCACTTAAAGTTGTGCGAGAGCTACAAGCCCAAATCGCTGAACTCCAGGAAGACTTTGAATCTGAGAAGGCTTCCCGGAACAAGGCAGAAAAGCAGAAAAGGGACTTGAGTGAGGAACTGGAAGCTCTGAAAACAGAGCTGGAGGACACTCTGGACACCACCGCAGCTCAGCAGGAACTCCGGTGAGTGAGGGAGGCAGCGCATCACCTGGTGTCTGCTGAGCTCTCCCACGAGGTCTGGCGGGGATGCTGTGGAGGTGCTTGCTCTCTTTGTGAGATGGTATGTTTTTCTTTATGTTGTCCTTCTGAGTATCCTCTCTCTCCTGGAATTAATAGCAGGTGAAACGATAACAAAATAGTAGTTTGTTTCTTATAGAAACAAACCAGCTTACAGGTAGAAAGCGTACAGGCTGGGGGATGGACCAACAGACTGAGGTGCAGAGTGAGATGTGATCTTTTAGAAAAGCCACAGTCAGTGATGGATGTCTAAGGGAAAGACAGAGGACAGATACACACATAGAGAGGGTTGGAAAGATTTATACAGAGACTATGTAAGAGAGAGAGAGAGGACCAGAGGGATAGATGGGACAGGCACAGAAATAGGGGGAAATATCTGGTGGTCAGGCATCTGCTGGTAGCACCAATTGGTATGAACATGGTAGGCAAACATGAGAAGGGAGGTACACATTCACAGAGATGAAGAGAAAGGTGAATACAGGTACTCAGACAAAGGTGTGTGTTGGGCAGAGTCATATGCTGTCACAGATGAACCAGCAGCCAAGGGTAGGCAAAAAGAAAGTGACAAGCACAGGTGAGCACAGCCAGAGAAGATCCACATGTTGAAACCTTAGCATGTCAGCCCACAGAAGTCACAGGAGAGCTATAGGAACGAGCCGGTGGGCAGACGGGCTGACCTGCGGCTCCTGCTGGCATGTAGATGTACTTGTCATATAAGTCGCTGAGTTGTGATCTCCCAGATTGCTGTCTTGGCCTCTTCCTGACCATCTTCTCCCTCCTCAAGACTCAAGTTGCCAGGCACATGAGGCCTGCCCCAGGAATCCCCAGGCTGCCTTGGCTGGTAGATTTGACTGGCTGCATGCATGCGTACACACACACAGCGCCCTGCCAGCTGTTCCACCATGTGCGTGATGGGAAGAGTACCCATCACTCTGGGAAGGCGGCTAAGATAAGGCCTGAAATAAAACCAGGATAGAAGGAATCATTTATGAAGACAGATGTGGCCAGAGAGGTAGGAAAGGACCTGGAGCAACCAGGAGGGAAGTGTGTTGTGGTGAAAGCCAGTGGTGCTCTTGCCTGGAGGACAAGGGTGTGCTCATCTGGGTGCCTGGACCTGGAGAGACTGACATCACCCAGTCTGCAGAGCAGGCCCTCTGAGCCGTGAGACTGAGGTCAGATTGTGGGTGTCAGGGGAGCGCTCAGTGGTGAAGAAACGGAGGTAATGAGCCTAATATTGTGGCCAGGACTTTGCCCATGAATATGTAAGGTCACAGCAGCAGTACAAGGGTGTGTCCCCAGAGAGAGCCCGTCCCAGCCAGGCAGGGTTGGAGGCTTCCCACTCCACTGCAGCAGAGGAACTCTGCTTTTAGCAGTTTAAAGTCCTGGCATTCTCTTTGGAAGATGTGCTTTTTAAAAATCTGGAAACTATTAAAGTAGACTTTGTTGAAATACCCATTCTCAGCTGGTCTTTTGACTACAATAGGAAAAGGGCTCTGATCATTTCCTCCACTCAATTCTTGCAAAAAAAACAAAGTACAAATGATATGTGCATATTTATTAAAGCCATGGCTATGCTCAAATATAGCCCTATTGATTCTGTTTTGTGAAGAATTTCAATTGCCTGCAGCTCAGATGTGTTAGCCTTCTCCACTGGGTCTTCCCTAGTTGTGTATCATGTGATTGGTATAAAAGTAACTGTCCTCAGCAAATCAAATACTCTCCAGCAGACTTGGCACTTGAACTCTCTTCAGGACTTATGGTAAAAGACTAAAGGAAATTGGGTGGTTTAGCCTGGAGGAGGAAAGGTGAAGGGCTCTGCTGACTGTTGGTTTCAAGCAGAGATTAGGAACAAAACTATTCACCCAAAAGACAGTGCATCGACAGCAGGAGAAATGTCGTTGCTGTCTGATAAAGCGCTGACCCCCAGGGCGAACTGAAAGAATCTCAGTGGAGTTCCTCAGTCTCGTTGGGCTGACGCTCGGATCCCGGCATCCTCAACCACCTCCACCATCTAGCCCTTCCTCTGCAAGGAAGATTGCAGAGCACAGGCCAGACCAGTGCGTGTCTTTCATCTCTAGTGAACTTGGGGCTGGGTAGGCTGGGCCACAAAGAATTGTTAGTGATTCCTTTTGTCTGGCTACCCGCAACCGCAGAGCGAGCAGCCCCTCTTCTCCTGGCAAAGCTGGTCTCAGCCCTCCAGATCTCACCACGCCACTGGTAGAGAGGAAAGCGTGCCCGCACAGGAATAAGCATATAGGTTACTGTTCTAACTGGTTATGTGTTTTAAAGTATAAAACAAGCTTGCCAGAGTTATGCTTCAGGATTATTGTAAAGTTATAGCTACTTAAACTCTTGAGGTCACTACTGCTCTTAGCAGGTGTGGTATTTACCCTACTGGTTTCAGTCTTTATCAAGCTATATGCTTAAATTAAAGATGGCTCATATCGACAAATTTAGAGTGATTTGTCGTGGGGGTGAAGTCTCTTCTAGTTGGTAAAATAACTTTGGTTTTTCAAGTTACCCTATATATGTCATAGCAAATTATAAAAATATTTGAAAGCCATGTAAAGATATTTAATACTAATGTGATCTTCATACCCTAAATGTAGGTTAGACAAAACCTCAGCTTGCCTCAGGACGTTCAAAGTGTATGGTCTTATACCTGCTGTGTTCTCATATCTAACTCTAGAAACCCTTTCTGAACCAGGAATGCCACCCTTCAGCCTGCCTTCTCATTTTCCTGCTCCTCCTCCCAAGCTTAAACCATTTTCTGATAGAGTTTGGGGAGGATGTTAGTTGATTGCAACTGTTTCACATGAGTGACGAGAAAGAGTCCTGCTTTTGTCAGGTGCAGTGTCCTAATTTGTTTGGCCTTTACGGCCCCTCAGCTTTCGAAAGCATATTCAGGATTTACCCTTTTCCAGTTTTATTGAAATGTCTGCTGGTGCTGTAGTAGGCGGTTTGGCATCTTGTGTTAACCAGTTCCTGACCTACGGTACAGCCAGACTGCCCAGAAAGGTTTGAAGACCCTAAGGGATGTTACACTGTGTCTCGATTAGAAGTCGACGTGGAATGGGAGTTAACGCTGGTTCTGGAAGGATTCCCCATATCACTAACCTATTGGATAGTAGCACATCTCATAATTATCAAAGGAGTTGATGTAATATTTAAAACAAAAGCAGCACTTAAAAAAAGTGCTCTTAATTTAATCAGTCGACTAATTCTGAGCTGCTTTCTCTAAAAATATCTTTCTCTAGGACAAAACGTGAACAGGAAGTGGCAGAGCTGAAGAAGGCTCTCGAGGAAGAAACTAAGAACCATGAAGCTCAAATCCAGGACATGAGACAAAGACATGCAACAGCCCTGGAAGAGCTCTCGGAGCAACTGGAACAGGCCAAGAGGGTAAGGGAAGCCCTAGCCGCGCGTCCATGTCTTGGAGGAAATCAGCCATCAGACAGACTTCCATCCTACTCCACCCTTCTGTCCAGTCAGTGCTGATTAATTCCTAGCCTTTGTGCAACACTGGTGGACTGATGGGGATGCATAACTCACAGGTGGCTGCTTTCTAAAGCACATGGCTCGCCTAGAAGAGCCGTAGGCCCTTGACTTTTTTTTTTTTTAAAGAACTGGGTGGATCCAGCTACCATCTCAAATGACATATTCCTCCCAGTGTCTCCTTGCACTGTCATCTTTCTCCTGATGACTTAACTCAAAAACTAGAATAGTTTGAAGTCATTCTCTCACTTGTCTGCTGCCCGTAAGTCACCAGGTCCTGCTGATGGTCCCTCTCAAATATTCCTTATCCTCCTCTCTGCTTCTCATCCCTCCCTTCCTCTGATCTGTCTCAAGCCACCATGCACATTATTGCCATTCATTTCATTGTTCTCTCTCCTGTATCTCGTATATCTCACCTTTCCATCCTGATAAAACTCAATTTCATACACCCTCTCATTCAAACCATCTTCCTCGGCAGACAAGTCTTTTCCTCATTATTTCCCATAGTCATCTCTTCCTTCATGCGTTTTGCTCTTGTTCTGATTTCCCCATCTTTCTCCTCTCTGTCTGCCTGTCCATATGCCACATTTTAATTTATACAACAGCATTAACATTTGTTGTACATTTACACTAGTATGTGTCAGTCACTGTGCTAAGTTCTCTAGAGGCAGTGCCTTCTTTAACCTTTATTACAACCCTATCGGTTATTCTCTATCATTCTCATTCCAAGAATGAGCAAACTGAGGCCCAGCAGCGTGAGGAAATTAAGCCAGGGTCACACAGCTAGTAAGTGGAAAGGCAGGTGGACGCCCCGCAGTCTGGCCCCAGAGCCGCATGTAACCCGATTGTACTGCCTGGAAAGCCCATCCTGAGTCCCATGTCATCCCCGAGGCGGTGCCTGCAGAGCTCCGTCCTGATGTGCTCACCCTGGCACCAACATACCATGCTTACTCATGTTACGTACTGCCTCTCTGTTATTCAGATGTGTCCCTGTGTTCATCCTTCCCAGCAACCAGATTTTCAGCTCCTTATTTTTAAAAAAATCACACTTTTTTAAAAACAAAACGTGTTTTGTACAAAGGATGACATGAATGCACGATTCCCTTTGGACAGGGTGCACTTGGTTCCTCGCCCTCACCCTGCTGACAAGGATAAAAAAGCGCACGGTGCAGTGAGTGCCTCGATATCCACACCCACTGCCCCCAGCAGTGTGTACAGCTGCGTTCCTTCTG